AAGGGAGGAAGGAATGAAGGAATGGAGGGAGGGAGAGGGAACTGGGATCAACATGTAAAATAATAAATTAAATTAAAAAAAAAGAAATCAGAGAAATATCTCCCTTTACTATAGCCACAAACAACATAAAGTATGTTGGGGTAATGCTTACCAAACAAGTGAAAGACCTATATAATAAGAAGTTTGAGTTTTTAAGAAAAGAAATTAAAGAAGATACCAGAAAATGGAAAGATTCCCCATGATATTGGATAGTTAGGATAAACATAGTAAAAATGGCAATCTTTCCAAAAGCAATCTACAGATTCAATGTAATCCCCATTAAAATCCCATCACAATTTTTCACTGACCTTGAAAGGATAACAACTTTATATTGAAAAACAAAAGAACCAGGACAGCCAAAACAACCCTGTACAATAAAGAAACTTCTGGAGGCTTCACCATCCCCAACTTTAAACACGATTACAGAGCTATAGTCCTGAAAACAGCCTGGTATTGGCACAAAAATAGACAGGTTGACCAATGGAATCGAATTGAAAATCCTGATATTACCCCACACACCTATGAACACCTGATTTTCGACAAAACAGCTAAAAGTATACAATGGGAAAGCATCTTTAACAAATGATGCTGGCACAACTGGATGATGGTGTATGGAAGACTGCAGATAGATTTATGACTATGGTCATGCACAAAACTCAAGTCCAAATGGATCAAAGACCTCAACATCAATCCATCCACATTGAACCTCTTACAAGAAAAAGTATGAGGTACCCTTGAACAAATTGGTATAGTTAACTGCTTCCTGAACATAACTCCAGGAGCACAGACACTGAAACAGACAATTAATAAATGGGACCTCCTCAAATGTAGAAGCTTCTGTAAGGCAAAGGACACAATGGACAAGACCAAACAGCAGCCCACAGACTGGGAAAAGATTTTCACCAATCCTATATCTGACAAAGGGCTGATCTCCAAAATATACAAAGAACTCTAGAAACCAATCACAAAAACACCAAATAACCCTATTAAAATGGGGTACAGAACTAAAGAGAGAATTCTCAATAGAGAAATCAAAAAGGATGAAAGATAGTTAAGAAAGTACTCAACATCCTTAGCTATTGGGGAAATGCAAATCAAAACTCTGAGATACCATCTTACACCTGCCAGAATGGCTAAAATTACAAACACCAGTGACAACTTATTTGGAGAAAGGGGAACACTCCTTCATTGCTGGTGGGAGTGCAAACTCGTACAGACATTTTGGAGATCAGTATGGCAGTTCCTCAGTAAAATGGGAATTAGTTTACCACAGGACCCGGCAATCCCCCTCTTAGGCATATACCCAAATGATCCACATCCATGCAACAAAGGCATGTGCTCAACTATGTTCATAGCAGCATTATTTGTAATAGCAAGAACCTGGAAGCAACCTAGATGCCCCTCAACTGAAGAATGGAATAATGGAATACTACTCTGCAGAAAAAAATAATGGTATCTTGAAATCCAAGTGGATGGCACTTGAAGACACCATCCTGAATGAGGTAACCCAGTCACAAAAAGAGGAGCATAGTATGTACTCGCTCATATATGGATTTTCGACCTACAGCAAACAATCGCCAGCCTATAATTCACACCACCGGAGGAACTAGGATACAAGGTGTATTCTAAGAGATTCATATAAGGTCCCTCACAGAAGGGGGTAGGGACATGATCTCCAGAGCACATGGGAAGTTGGGGTGAGCCGTAAATGGAGAGGGACCTAGGAGTAAGTGAAGGGGAGAAAAGGGAAGTATGTACAACAAGAAGATTGAGTCAGGGTAGGAATAGAAGACAGAAAAGAAAGAGAGAGAGAACATAAAAGAGGGAGCCATTATTGATTTTAAGAGAAAACTGAACCTAAAGAAAGGTCTAGAGACCTACAAGACTGACTCCAACTAACGATTTGAGCCACATTGGAAAGGTTACCATAAATGCCCTTCCCTAATAATGAGATCAACAACTAATTTATCCACCATCATGGAGCTCTCATCTAGTACCTGTTGGAAACAGAAGCAAACATAACTAGAATCCAGACGCAGAGAGAGAGGACAAGACCAGGTTGCAGAAACACATAGAGACAGCTGAACAAGAAGGAGCTAACGGGCCCCCAGCCTGATAACTGGGAATCCAGCATGGGACTGACTCAGACCCCCTGAACATGGGACCTCAGACAGTGGAACCAGGATGTATTCCTGGTGCACAAAAGGACCTTGCGGACACATCCCCCATGGAGGGATACTGCCTTAACCTAGAGACAGGAGAGAAGTCCTAGTCCCTACTTCAAATGACTTGACAAATTTACATGACCCTACCTGGATGGCATTGCTCTACATGTGGAGTGGGGGGGATGGGAGGGGAGGGTGGTCAGGGTGCATGGGAGGGAGGGAAGAAGGAAAGAAGAGAGGGAAGGAGGGAGAGGGAACTGGGATTGACATGTAAAAAAAAAAAAGATTCCATCTATACTGGTTTGTGGACCCTTTTGCTAACAGATTGGTAAGTCATTAATTTATGATGAAGACTACAAGCAGCTGGTTAATCCCATTCTTTGAATTTTATAATATTTATTGATTAACACCTCAACCTGAAATTACATATCCCCTGGGTTCATAGCAAACTCTACCCTCAGCTTCTATTTATAACATTACCTACTCATTTTATTCAATTCCATTATACCATGTGTTGCTACTAAACTCTATGTCAAAAAAAATTTGTAACCTGCAATAGTGGCAATAGTTCAGTGGATTAAGTGATTGCTGTTCAAGCATAAGAACCTGAGTTCAAATCCCCCGCACCCACATAACAGATAGGCATGATATAACACTTCTACGATAGTTGCTGTTGGGTGTTGTCTATGAAAAGGGTTCTCTCAGCCAATTGAGCCAAAGTTGCAAGCTCTAGATCCACTAAGTGACTTTGTATCAAAAACTAAGGTAAAGGCCACAGAGGAAGCCATGGAATAATGACCTCCGGCATCCACCTATGTGCACACACAGTCTATGATCTTAACCTTATTATAGTGGCTTGAATGAGAATGACCCAATAGGTTTGTGTATCTGACTACTTGGTCCCCAGTTGGTAGAACCATTTGAGAAAGATTAGGAGGCATGGCCTTGCTAAAGGAGGTCTGTCCCTGGGGGAGGACTTTGGGGTCTCAAAGATCTCATGCTGTTCCCAGTCTCCCATTACCTGTCTGTCTTATGGTTGTTCCTCAGTATATGGACTTCCAACTACTCTTCCAGGGCCAGTCATGCCTGCCTATCTGCTACTATGCACTCCAACCATGATAGCCATAAACTCTAACCCTCTAACTGTAAATCCTAAACACATTCTTCTATTAGTTACCTTGACTAGGGTGTCTTTTCTCAGTAATAGGAAAATAGCTAAGATATTTTGAAGAGTCCAAAAAAGTGAAAATAATGTGTAGTTGGGCCTTTAGAAAAGTTTTATAAAGGAGATCACTTTTGAAATTAATTTTGAAGAACATTTAGGATTTGAATAAAAAGAAAAAGATAAAAGAGAATTTTAAGGCACTGAACAGAAGTAACAAAATCAAGAAAGCTGGACATAAGTGAAGAACAACAATTAAAGATTTTGATTGGAGAATAGGATTTGATTAGTAGATCATAGGCAGGTTTGGGTTATACTAGAGACAGCATTGACTTCCAAGTGGAAGGATTGGGATTTAATCCAGGAGATAACAGGATGTGCAAAACTGCACCTAACTCTAAAATTCACCCATAGAGTGCAAGTCAGATAAGATTCTACAACCTGATATTCAACTTAGATTAGAAAAATAATAGATAATAGCTATTGCCTAGAGATGAGGACTTAAAGAATAATGAGAGCAGACTGGAGAAAGTGAATTATCCATGGTAGTTATTGCATCATTAAAAAAACTAATTAACCCAAGGTGAGCTGAGAGAAAAGAGGGTCAATAATAAGAAGCTAGACAAAAAGAATGGGAATAAAGATTCTATAGACTTTAGAGGTGAAAAGGAAAATCAAGAAAGTAGAAAGGGAAAACAGTAGGTTTGATTTCTTAGAAACCATGTATGTTTGAGTGGTGACTAATAATGGTTGACTTTTAAAATAGTAGCAGAGAAAATAGGGTTGGAGGTCATTGGTACTATAAAAGACTTGCCTCCCTGACTTAATTTCTGCACCTAATTCCGTGCCTGGAAATAAGTGCGCAAATGTGAGTATGATGCATTGATGAGGTCATTAGCAAAGACAGACCTTTAGTGTCCAGAGCCTCAGAGGAAAGAGTGGTAAACAGGAAGATACAGGCATCTCAGTAGGTGTGTGTGTCACCAAAAACAGTCATGAGGAGAACTGAGCAAGTTTAGGATAAGAAAGAATCTTGAGTCATTAAAAAAAAAAAAAAAAAAAAAAAAAAAAAAAAAGGCTGAGTGACAATATTAGAAAACTATTAAGCTTCAAGGAAAACAAAAATTGTGCTTCACAACTGTCTCTATCCTCTTAGTAATGCCTGGATACATTCATTCCTCACTATTTAATTAATCAAATACAAAGGGACAAATAGACTTTTTAGAGTTTAACCAAAAATGGAATACAAGAATGTCCTACACAGGTTACTTTCCATAAATTTAATAGGTATGCAATTGCCCTGTTCCCATATCCCTTTCTGGCAAAGCACTGGGTCATGAGAAGGAGAACCAGCTGAAAAATGGAACAAGGCCTTCCTCACGTTGCCAATCTGGCCCCTCATTCTATCTGTATGACCTTGTAGTTCTGCAGCACCCCTGTTCCCAGAAGTAAAATCTGGGTCACAGGGATTAGAGTTTTAGCATTAACTTGTGTCCAATGAATAACTTCCATTGATTCCCCACCTAGGGGAATCAGCATTCCTTTTCCAACAACAGCTGTGATCATTGGCAGAAAAAAAGGTTGAACCTAGAAAGGCTGATCTCCACCCCTCAACATCATCAAAGGCACAAATAAAACCTGAATGCTTGGAACCTTAAGAGTGTAGTGGGCAGCCACCTGTCTGTCTCCTACTCAAGCTGCTGCTGCTGTCATAGCCCTGGACCGAGACCATGAACAAGCTGCTGTTTCTGCTTGGAGTGTCTATCCTTGTCTGCCTTCTTTCAGAAGCTTTTGCTCAGACAGGTAAGAAATTTAGGCTACAGGCAGGTAGAGAAGTCGACTTTGTTTCTCTAAATTTGTTGAAACTCACTATATGTCTTACTTTATCTAACAGACCTCACAGGAAAGGTATTTGTGTTCCCCAGAGAATCTGACACCGATTATGTGAAGCTGATTCCACATCTGGACAAACCTCTGGAGAACTTTACACTGTGTTTTCGAGCCTATACTGACCTTTCTCGCCCTCATAGTCTTTTCTCCTACAATACCAATGATGGAAACAATGAGCTGCTAGTTTATAAGGAAAAAATTGGAGAATACGGACTGTACATTGGAAATGTGGGAGCCACAGTCAGTGGGGTAGAAGAATTTGCTTCTCCTGTGCATTTCTGTACCAGTTGGGAGTCCTCTTCTGGCATTGCTGAATTTTGGGTCAATGGGAAACCTTGGGTTAAAAAGGGTCTGCAGAAGGGATACACTGTGAAATCCCAACCCAGTATTGTCATAGGACAGGAGCAGGATTACTTTGAAGGAGGTTTTGAAAAGTCCCAGTCCTTTGTAGGAGAGATTGGGGATTTGAACATGTGGGACTATGTGCTAACCACAGAAGAAATTAAATCTGTATACCAAGGTTCCCCTCTTGAGCCTAACATTCTGGATTGGCAGGCTCTGAATTATGAAATGCATGACTATGCAGTCATTAGGCCCCGTGTGTGGCATTAAGATCTTAGAACAAAACCTCATGAAAATGAAATGACTAATGTCCAAGAGGTCAAGTCAGCACAACTCAATACTTAATCCTGAATCTGCAGCCTTTTCTTCCTTGTGAACTTCCTATCTACTTATCTCCCCAATAAAAATATTATCCAGTTCTGCCTGCATTTTTGCCACTTGACATAATTTCAAATGCTTTCTTTTAGATCTACTCCTTTTGATAATTGATGTTTCAATATCTAGAACAATTGAGTTATAAAATAGGAGGTGATCACAAATTTTAAAAGAGGAAAATGGTAATACTTATAAGCTACTGGTAACCAATTTAATAATAACTCAAAATATGTATAAAATTGCAGTAGAAATTCTTCCATTTGTTTATCCAAACACAAGTCAATATAAAAAGCCTGATATTGCTCAAGGAACACAACTATAATATAGGTAAATAACAGCTGAGAACTTGACAACAAATAATGAGATGGGAAATCCAGGAGAAGAATGAAAACTAAACATGTATAAAAATTGAGATCAGTTGGTGTCATCAACTAACAATCTAGGCAATAGTGGAGAGGCTACCTTAAATGCCCTTCCCCGATAATGAGATTGATGACTGCCTTATATGCCATCCTAGAGCCTTCATCTAGGTAGCTGATGAAGGCAGAAGCAAACACCCACAGCTAAACACTGAGCCAAACTCCTGGACTCCAATTGCAGAAATGTAGGAGTGATGAGCAAAGGGGTCAAGACCAGGCTGGAGAAACCCACAGAAACTGCTGACCTGAACTAGGGGGAGCTCATGAATTTCAAGTCTGATAGCTGAGAAACCAGCATAGGACTGACTCAGACCCCCTGAATGTGGATGTTAGCTAGGACAACTAGGCAGTCTATAGGGCCTCTGGTAATGGATCAGTATTTATCCCTAGTATATGAATGGACTTTTGGAGCCTATTCCACATAGAGGGATACTCTCTCAGCCTAGATACATGGGGGAGGGCATAGGCCCTGCTCCAAATGATGTGAGACTTTTAAGATTCCCCATGGAAGGCCTCACCCTCTCTGGGGAGCAAAAAAAGGGGATGGGCTGGGATTTGGTGGGGGTGATAAGGGAGGAAAAGAGGGTCAGGGACTGGGATTGACATTTAAAACAAACTTATTTTAAATTTAAATTTAAAAAAAGAAAAAAACTGATTAAATCTATAACATGCATTAATTTTTTAAAAAAAGAAAGAAACGGAGATCATTTTGTACAAAGAAAAACATGATTGATCTCTCTCCCCCCCCCCTCACACACACACAATTATAAAATCACAAAATTGGAAACCATACTGTACAAGCAAAGATAAATAACATAAAAAATTGTCAACCAAAACAATATGAGATGAAAATCTAAAAAAACACCATTAGTTCATTTTATGTTGGCCTCTACTGCTAGGCACTGGGGCCTTGTAAGTGTCCTTTATATACCTGTGACTCCACTGGTGAAAACTGATTTTTCCTTTGTAAGAAGTTGTCAGTTGGAGATAGCTCCCTAGTTAGGAAGGAAGGAAACTTATGTCTACTTTCTCCTCTCAGTTCTTGAACCTCATCTGGCTTGAACCTGTGCGGGTCTTGTGCATGTTACTACAGTCTCTGAGAGTTCATATTTGTTTCAGTCCCAGTGACTGGAAGGCCTTGTTTCCTTGGTGCTCTTTATACCCACTGACTCTTATATAATAGTTCCCTGACCCCTTAGGGGAGGAATTTGATGAAGCCATCCCATTTAGGATATGAATGTTCTGAGGTCTCTCACTCGCTGCAATCATCCAGGTATGGGTGCCTGTATTAGTTCCTAGCTGCTGTGGAGAAAGCACCTCTGATGGCTGACTTCAACATCCATATTATAAGTTCAGGTTTGTTTTATGGTTCTTTAATGTTAAGAAATTTTTCTAGGGCTTCTGAGGTGGTTCCCCAGAAAAAAGTACTGACTGAGCAAGCATGAGGACCTGAGTTCAGATCCTCAACACCCACATCAAAAGCCAGATATTGCCACATAGACCTGAGAGGTAGAGACAAAAGAACACTAGAACTCATTGGTCAGTTAGTTCATCAAAAAAAAAAAATGGTGAGTTCCAGGTTCAGTTAGAAATCCTGTCTCAAAGGGATGTAGCAGAGAATGTCAGAGAAGGACACAACATCTTTCTTTTTCTACACACACACACACACACACACACACACACACACACACACACACGCACATTTATATACTCTATACACACATGGATACAGAGAGAAACCTTTCAATAGACATGTACAAATAATTACTATCTATTCTTGAATAATTGGTATTTCCATCAAAAGCATGCAGACACATTGCATCTCCATAGTAGGTTGGTTTTGTTTAGCATCCCCTCTGCAAGTAACATGAAACAAATTTCAGGAATGAACCCAGGACATTGAATAATAGCATCCATTTTTTTTTCAGTATTTATTGAGCCACAATTCCATCCCAAGCATGATGCCAGCTACTGGGAATGTTATACTGGTGAAATAATCATGGCATTTGCCTTTTTTGGAGGTTATATTCTAGTAAGTCTGTGTTGTCTAAGTATGGATCCCTTCTAACAATAATCAGTCTGTGCCATAAGCCATCCTTCACATCTTCAGGCTCCTCTTCTGAGTGATGTACTCCTGTTCCCCTCAACTTCACATGAGATAGCAATATCATTTATTCTCATCTATTGTTTTGTAACTGTATTTGTGTCTGTTAGAATACAGTTTGGACCCAATTTCTTGCACATAAAATTCCTGCCTCTTAGAATGATTTTTTTTATATAGAATCCAAGATGATGATGTATCAGTTTTTTCTATTACATGGCCCAAACTTCATCCAAAAGAAATACTTATACATCCTTCAGTCTTGTAAATTCTAGGAGTCCATGATGATCTTACTTAAGACAATACTTCCCTGCTTCTACAATGGCCCTGGCCTTCTCAAATTCTGTGAGTCTTGGAATACCAAGGAGATTTTTGCAGCTTTGTGTTTCCATGGGAACTGTTTCACTAAGCCTGAAATGAAAGAGCCTGAAAGACCAATAACCACCTTCTCAAGAAACCATGTACATGACCCATGACTCCATCAAGCAACAACTCAAAGCAGCACCTCTCTCTAAACAAGTTCTTTCCCTTCCCTATAGTCTGTCACACCATGTTTTGGCTGAGGAATATAAGCATCACAGATTCTTAATCATCTCCTTTGTCAATTCTTGTATGTGAAATTATGTAGTTATTACTATATTATTATCTAGTTTATATTATTAATTACTCATTCAGGACTAAAGAAAATTTGTCACTCTAAGAGTCCAAAACCATCTAACAAAAATTCAAACAGCAAGCACAAGAAGCCCTTTTTTTAATTGTTTGTCAGGTTTGTCTAAAACACTCTCAAGACATTATAGTCTATTGCTATTACCATTGGTTGTCCTTCCCATGGGTAGAAGTCAATGTTGAAGACATCATGCACTTCAAAGAGAGAGCCAGAGGCCCCTGAGCTATACATTACCTGTGTCTCTTTTCTGCAAACTAATTTTCATGGTACCAAAATGTTCCATGCAAGTTTCTAAAGGTGGAAGCAACCAATAGTCCTACCCATATGAACCACAATGACCAGAATAACACAATAACCCTAACAGTACAATTGTGGCATTCATATCAACAGCTCTCTAATTGAACTTAAGTCCCACCTTCAACAAGAAGAAAATAATGCCTGGTACTAGACACCTAACTCTTAGGTATGGGCATTGTAGATGTATCTATTGGGACTAGGTCCACAACTCCAAAATTTGATCGGTTGTGGTTTTTTTGTAATAGTCTCCATGTGTTGCATAGAGACGTTTTCTTGATGTGGAGTCAGAGCTACAGTTATCTCTGGGTATAGACAAAGCATATTTAAACTGTATTAGGAATATTATGCTGGCTTAGTAAAGTTGTAATTGTAGGTCCTTCTCCTTTACTAACCCTAGGTAATTTTCTAGAAAGGAAGACAAAAAGATTCTAAGAGCCAGAGGAATGGTAAATTTGCTGTGATATATTTCCTAAGAATTTCAGTAGTACATTCATGAAATCTCAACCTGGCTGCTTAAACATGACCTGAAAAAGAATGACATCACTGGGCATGCCAGTGTAGAAGTAGGACATGTCATGAGTCCTCAACCAAACACAAAGAGCCACAAGAAACTAAGGAATGCTGAAAATGGGAGAAATAGTCTTCCCCAAGGAAAAGCACATCAATTAGTTATCGAATACCAAATTATCAGCCCTGAAAACCTACGAACAGATTGTGCATATTGAATTTTTGTATTTAGGAATGTGTGTGTGTGTGTGTGTGTGTATAAATAGATAGATCAATAGATAGATAGTATGTAAGAACAACTAATGATAACAGAGACTATGAAGAGCAAGAATAATTATATAGGAGGATATAGAAGAGCAAAATAATGTCATTATATTAATCTCAAAATAGTTTTTAAAACAAAAGGACAATTGCATATAAGTATTATATTTAATATAGGAATAGAATGTCTGATAATTGATTATGAACATTTTCCTCAAGTACAATAAAAACATCACAGAGGAGATGACTTGAGTGATTTGGAATCTATAAGGAATATATAAATATTTGAAGGTCACAATAATCAAGGAAAGTAATGATCTATTCATTTCAAAATTGCCTTGATAATCGACTCTTCCCCATTCTTGTCTTTAAAATTGTGAGGCTTAGGGAACAAGAGATACATAGTTTTGCCATGAGGGGCCTAATCTTGATAAGCTTTTTAGTCTCTTTGTTGTACGAGTAAGGACATGATTTTTATTTATGTGTCTTCAGAAGAGCAGGTAAAAGAATTTTCCAGGTTCCAGAACTGACTTTTTATCAAAGTAGTTTCAGAAATAAATCACAATTGTTTGATAATTTCCAAAACCAGAAAAGAGCACAGACATATTCCATATACTCAAGTGGGGCAGATTGTTCAGCTCTTGGGAGTCTTCCGCACCAAGCACAGGCCACCCTTATCTTTGTCCTCTTCTTGTAAAGTAGGCCCTGGCTCCTTTTACTTAAAAAGAAGGGAGAAAAACATGGAAGACGAAGAGAGGTGAACATTGATACTTTTCTATTTTAATTTCACTATTCTTT